TCAACTTGTCGATGTCCACTCTTCAAATACCCGATGTGTGGAAAGTCGGAAGAGTGGTCCCACTACTGAAACCTGGGAAACCCGCCAACAAAGGGGAGTCTTATCGCCCGATAACTCTCCTTTCCCCAGTAGCAAAGACACTTGAGGCCTTGTTACTCCCGTCATTCACTCACCACCTGAGTCTAGCAGACCATCAGCATGGCTTCCGAAAAGTGCACAGCATCACCACAGCATTTCGCGTCATAAATGCCCAGAAAGTTCATGGCCTGAACCAGAAGTCACCCTGTGAGAGGACGATCCTCGTAGCGTTGGACTTGTCAAAAGCTTTTGACACAGTCAATCACACAACGCTACTTGAGGACCTAGAACAATCAACGCTCCCTCCAGGGCTGAAGCGGTGAACTATGAACAACCTGAGCGGTCGGCATTCATCCGTACTGTTTCGAGGTCAAAACTCCAAACTTAGGGTTCCGCAGGACGGTGTCCTCTCCCCACTACTGTTTAATTTCTATATTTCGAAACTCCCCCAGCCACCAGCGGGAGTTTCAGTGACCTCGTACGCTAATGACTTCACGATATTGACGTCGGGCAATAGAATCGATGGCATGTGCTCAAAAGTAAACAGCTACCTCTCCGATCTTTCTCGCTTCTTCTCGCAAGGAGTCTGACACTCTCCCCCACTAAGTCCACAGCGACCATCTTCACAAATTGGACGAAGGAGTACAGACTGGACCTGAACATTTCAATCGATGGCACAAAATTCCGACAGTTAATAACCCTAAAATTTTAGGCGTCACATTGGTCAGTCTGAGGTCCTTGACTCCTCACACGACCGCGATAACTGCCAAAGTACAGAGCCGCAACAAAATCCTCAAGTCGCTTGAAGGCAGCTCTTGGGGAAAAGACAAAGAAACGTTGCTGGCGACATACCAGGCAATCGGCCGGCCGGTCCTAAACTATGCAGCCCCAATATGGTCGCCTGGATGTAGTGCTACGCAGACGAAGAAGCTCCAGACCTGTCAGAACACTGCACTCCGGACTATCACGGGATGCCTCTTGATGCCCCCAATCGAACACCTACACAGTGAGGCCCGTTTGCTTCCGGTTAAGGATAACGAGCTCCTCTCCAAGCAGTTTCTGCTTGGTTGTTTTCGTAGAAACCACCCCTGCAGTCGTCTGCATGAAGCGGAGCCGCCTCCTAGGAACATCAAGAGGTCTTTCCTTGATTACGTCGACGACATTAGACAGTACGCCGACCAGACTTCGGACGCAACGAACTTCAAACAGCCACTGACCGCCATGCACAGTGGAGCCATCAACACCTTCATCGACTCAGATTAAACTCCTACTTATCCAGAATTGACCCCGACATACCAAACACATGTCCTGCGTGCAATGAGTCTCCGCATGACACTAACCACCTTTTTGCATGCCCAACGAACCCCATTCATCTAACACCCTTTTCCCTATGATCCGACCCAACAACCGACCGTCGAAACAGCTCGTTTCCTGGGCTTCCCGTTAGATGACCTCGACGACAACCAATCTGGAATTTATCACCCAAACGGGGATTAGGTAACCGTTACAACAACAACATCGACACCATACTTAGTAAGCCGTTGGAAAAGCGAGCGAAGGTGACTGCGGGGTTGCGTAACATCCTTGGAAGCGATTAGAATGTCATCTATGTATGGGAATACAAAGTCATCTAGTCCCCGTGTTACTTCTTCGATAAATCATTGGAATGTTTGCGCAGCATTCCGAAGTCCGAACGTCATGAACGGAAATTCGAAAAGACCAAACGGTATTATAATTGCAGTTTTGTCGACATCTTCTTTGGTGACAGGTATTTGATTAAAAGCGAGCACGAGATCAATGGTTGAAAATATTGTTTTGCCGGTTAGATTGGCAGTGAAGTCTTCGAGAACACGAACAGGATATCAGTCTGGCAATGTACGGGCGTTAAGTCGTCGATAATCTCCACAAGGTCGCCATTCATCCGACTTCTTTGGAACCAGGTGGAGCGGAGATGACCACTTCGAACGTTGAGCGATTCCAAATTTTGTCGAACTCTGTCTTAGCAATTTTAAAATTGTCGGGAACAAGTATTTGGGACTTACAGGAAACAGGAGGTCCTGGTGTTGTAGATATGTGATGCTGCGTCGTATGTTTTGTTGGCTGACAGATTCCTTCCGGCTTTGTCAGATTAGGGAACTCCGCTAGAGTATCTGCCCATATAGGGTCGACGGGCAGTACTTTAATTTCCGAAATTATGTTGGATGTTCTTGAGATCGGGTAAGATGCCGAAATGTGCCAAAAAATCCTGCGCCAATAATAGGTTTCGTTATGTCCGCCACTACGAAGCGCCATGTAAAATTTCGTCTGAGGCCAAGGTTTAGTGATAGAGTTATGCAACCGTACGTGTTAATCGTAGACCCATTTGCTGCTGTGAGATGATAGTTGACTTGCTCCGGCGACCAAGGTGCGAGAGATTTGTGAAACGTGCAGAGATCAGCGCCAGTATCCACTAGAAATTGAATTTTGGTGGCACGATCTGTTACAAAGAGGCGGTTTGATTCGAGTGAGGAGCCGTGACGGTAACGAGATATGACTTGTCTCTTAAAACTGGAAGCTAGCTCATTAATTGAAGCTTCGAGACGAGAAATGCGTGATTCGACTTCTGATGTTGCTGCTGGTTCTTGGACCGAATTGATTTGTGCTGCTGGTAATACGATATCGTGTATTTTGTCTGCAAGAGATGCCAGTTTATCGATATTCATGTCTGCTTGGGACGCAAGTATAGATTGCGTTGTCATCGGAAATCTGCTGAGCCACTTAGTTCGTAGAATATTGTCAGCAACAGTGTTGTCAAGTCTTCTCAGATGTCGGAGAAATTCCGATGGTTTTCTATCACCCAAGGTCTCTCGATCGAGAAGCTGCTGTAGTCGTGCTTCTCGAGAGAGCGTAAGGCGTTCGGCCAGTGGCCCCTTTAAGCGAGTGTAGAGTGTTCCTGTGGGAACATTCAATAGAAGATCTTCCACTTCTGCGGCGGCCCTGGCGTCAAGATGTGAAGAAGCATAGTGGTATTGCGTAATTTCATCGGAAATTCAGGTGAGATGAAATTGTCCCTGAAGTTGGGCGAACCACAAGGCTGGTTGTGCGGAATTGAATAACGGACACCGTATAGAAACACGTTGGAGCGGTGTTATACTGTCGGCCACTTGTACGTCCACGCTATCTGGCATCTACTTATATTATATCTAACTCGACTAGTTTTAGGTAAACAAAACTATTATACTCTGTAGCAACAGGTTGCGAGAGTATAAAGATGGACTATAACCGCAATGCAAAATTCATAATCCTGTGATGAGTAACGTAAAATTTTTCAGAATTTCCCTATAAATCCCGGCGTTGAATCGACCAGGGTTATTTTTTTGAAACGCGCCAAAAGCCATCAACACCAAAAGCAGCTCTACGCAAAAGAACTGAGGACACCCTGGTGATGAATTGACCAGAGTTATTTTTTCGAAACGCAACCGTAGGCCGCCAATGCAGAAATAAACATATGCGAAAAAAAGTAATGTGTTGTATATTTGTAATAGATAAGGTAACACTGATTATTTTTTAGAATGCACCCCTTATGTTATTGTGTGAATAAAAAGAAGTAAATATAGCGTTTAATAAGTATTTAGCTGTGGGTAATTTAGAATATTTTGTAAATATTATTTATTACTTTGTAGATTGTTTTGATTATTATTGTTAATGAATACAATTGAATTGTGAGGTGAGTCGTGAGGAAAAGCACTAAATATGTAATAAACTTTTGTTTTGAAAATATTGTTGAAAGTTTTTATTAATGTTTTCAATTGCAAATACCTTTTCCCAAAAAGGAATTATACTACATTCCTTTTATTTACATCTCAGCATCAAAAAAGGCAGATTTCGATCAGGTGATTTTGGCTGTTTAACACACAGGAATTCAGTTGATTCTTTTGTTACTTGTAGAATTTTGCAATCAATTTTTTCCTATGAAATCTACTTACTTTTCGCTAGTTTAAATTAAGATACTTCTTGTAATGCATCCAACACCTCATTAAAGTGTAATAAATAGTTAAATTTAATAAGTTGCATAATATTTTAAAAATTTGACCAAGTCAAGAAAGAGAGGAATTTTATCTGCTACCATATTATCCAAAATGAGACTTCACTTTCGGTATTACCATACTATATCAATATGCAGCACAACTTTTCAAACTCTTAGATAGCTTACTTCAGGATTCTTAATGTATTAAAATATCGCAACGAAAAGTAGTATATGTATATATCTTTCATTATATTTAATAGATGTAATGTATGTAATATATTCATAATGTAAAGCTTTAGTATACTGTCCCAGGCTTTCGGGGATAAAATGGGTATGGACGGATAGAGGAGATCCTCCAGATCAAGAATATGTATAGATATAGCCGCAAGGATAGTTTTCGAGATATTTACGTTTAAAATAATTCTTCAATTATATTAATTTTGACAATAACCAAAGGGTTGTAAATGTCAAAAAACCAGTGTTGCATTACGAATATATTTTGCAAACGAATAAAAATAATATAAAAAGAGAGATTATACCTTTGGTAAATGTATAGTCCCCCAACTAAGGAGGCCTCAAAAATTAAATTTTTTTTAAATCGTCTTATTTTTACGCATAGATTACAAATCTGTGAGCGGAAAGTAAATTTTCTCAATAATTTATGTATATTTTTCAAAATTTATTTAACGCACTTTGCACATATCACATATTCAAGTCACTTAGTTATTGTTGTTGTAGCGGCAAAATTCTGTAGAATTCAGATCACTTAGTGTAATTACCAGTTCAGCGTGTTAAACATTTTCGTATGAAAAAAATATACTGAAGAAATGTAACAGTCACAATTTCCTTTGCGCCGCGATCTGATGGTATGGACGAATATCGTAGATCGTTGAACTCCTTTCCGCACTGGCAGACTTCGGCCGCGCTTCAAAAAAAGAACCCTGGTCGGTCCAAAACCGGGGTTTCATAATTCAATCGCGTCAAACTCCCTATCGCTGCTCTCAACCTCAATGATACTTTTCATTACGATGCAGAGCATCTGTAATTATTAATATCACAATTAAAGTGCACTAACATTGATATTCTAATATAAATTTTCAGAAACGTTTATGAAGGAGAGGAGTAAATACACCAAAAAACTTGAATGTGTGATTTTTTCAAAGAAAAAAATAAAACAATTACTTTAAATGTATAACAATTGTTTTTAATGCATTTTTATAAAAAAAAACGATTTTTTTTTGATATTTTTTTTTTTTGAAAAATTTAAAAAAAATAGAAATATTGAAAAAATTCACTTTCCGCTTTCGGATTTGTAATCTACGCGTAAAAATAAGACGATTTAAAAAAGAAAAATTCATTTTTGAGGCCTTCTTAGTTGGGGGACCTAAACTATATATTTACCAAATATAAATATGGATTCTGTTGCGTTGTGATAAAAATATACAAAAAATTAACGAGTTGAGCGTAAAATCATAAGAGACAATTCTAATGTAATAAGTCTTATTGAAATAAGGTCAGTTTAAATGATAGAATGTAATGCTAGTTTTTAAACTTGTTTGTGCTTTTAAATATAGTTTTCTGCAAGGCTTCCGCTAAGCAAGGAATCATTCAAATATGTGTTGCATAGTATAAGCAGTGAACTGGAAACTCATCGCAGGGTCACAGTAATACCAGAAACGGTAAAACTGGCGGCAACTTGAGATTTTTTGGCTCATCCTCCCTGCGACAAATTAGAAAAGATTACTATACAGCACTAGTGCAACAAACAGTTGGAGGTGTGTCCAAAACATATAGCAATGCCATCGGAGCAGAGAAATGAGGCAAAACGAGCTTTTTACTCAATACAGTGGACCCCAGGTAATCCGGCCCGTCTAATCCGACATACATGTTTCGCTAATGCATGATTGAACAAGTTACAACTTGTACGGACCATCATTATTGTGCTCGACGCGTAGGGTATTGTTTTGATTCCGATTGCTTAGTTTGAATTTGACTACAGCCGATGAAGAGTGGTGCGTGCGCCTAGCGTGTGTTCATTGTTTACTGTTTATTTATTGTGTATTACGTAGATATACGTACCTAGTAATGTCGTCACAAGCTCAAAAGCGAAAGCACAAAACACTGACAATTCAAGAAAAATGTGATACTTTAGACCGCCTAAATCGTAATGAATCTTTCAGTAGTTTAGTAAGTGAATACGGGGTAGGCCGATCTACAATTTATGACATTAAAAAAAACCACGAGAAGATTAAACAGTTTGTCAACTACTGACTGTGGGCCAGGCAAGAGGCAGACACTCAAGAAAGGTGAACATCCAGAAGTGGAAGAAGCTTTATACATGTTGTTCCTTCAGGAAAGAAATAGGCATGCGCCCATTTCGGGATCCATGTTGGCAATAAAAGCTAAGTATTTTTATAAAGAAATAACAAAAAAAGATGATTTTGTGGCTAGTAAGGGATGGCTAGAACGTTTCAAAAGTTGTCATGGCATACGTTTAATGACCATAACAGGAGAGAAACTTTCTAATGATGCCACCTCCATAGAGCCATTTAAATTAAGATTTTTGAAAAGGCGAAAGATTTAAATCTTAACCCGTCACAGGTGTATAATGCAGACGAATCAGGGCTTTTTTGGCGTTTGTTACCTAATAAAACTTTTGTTTCCTACACTGAAAAATCGGTACCTGGACGAAAAGTAAGTAAAGAATGTGTAACCATACTACCATGTGCTAACGCTGCGGGTACACACACGCTTAAAGATGGTGGTCGTTGGAAAATCTAATAAAAACAAACGTGCATTCAAAAACATTAATTTACCTGTACACTATTATGGACAAAAAAGTGCGTGGATGACCAAAAGATCTTTTCAAAAAGTGGTTTGATGAATGTTTCGTACCAGAAGTTAGAAAATGGTTGAAAGATCATAATTTTTCTCAAAAAGCTTATTGCTTCTTGATAACGCTCCCGGTCATCCGTCTGAAGAAGAACTGACAACTAATGATAAATGCATCACTGCGATGTTTCTTCCGCCAAACTGCACTGCACTGATTCAACCCATGGATCAGCACATAATTCAGTTTGTAAAGCAAGATTATAAGAAAAACCTACTTCTGAAAACCGTATCAAAAGACCAGCCAATAGAAAATCAATGTTCTGTAATAGTTTATTTCTCTAAGTTTTGGATTCCTGTATATGGGGTATTATCTGTTTTAATTTCTTTCAGTTCAATTAAGAACGATATCGATAAGGTAACACTGGTTATTTGACATTTTGCAACCCCTTTGTTATTGTCAGAATTAATAGAATTTAACATTAATTTAATTATTGAATTAAACTATTTTTGCACTATATAATGTAAAATAAATGTGTACAAACAAATTAGTGAAGTGTTAGTGGATATAAAAGTGGAAAATATAAGTGTATAATTCATTTGAAATCAAAAAAATTCGTACTTTAAATAGTTGAAATTTTCAACTTCAAACGTTAATACCTCGAAAACTGTAAGTTTCCCCCGGCTATATCTATATTTGTTCTAGATTTGGAAGACGTCCTCTATCGGCTTATCATGTTAACCCTGAAACCCTGGGACAGCTTTTAAAGCCGCCTCAAAATATCCCTCCATACCATCAGATCGTGGCTCCAAAGAAACCTAATTTTGCCTTTTTCTTAATCTGGACAACCTCCTATAACTTTACATATCCATTTTAACACAGAGTTCGGGGGATGATATTCTAAATCATATCCGGAAACCTATAGAAAACATTAAACTTACCGAAATTCTTATGGGTTTGATTATATTTTGACTTTAAATTTTCCAAATGAAAAGAAGCTTTATCCAATTCCTTTTTGGCAATCGTCTTTTCAAAACGAGTTTTCTGAGACTTGCTCAAAAGAAATTCCCGCCTTAATCTCGACTGCCTTCGGAACATTGTTTAATACAGTACCCACACTCACTAATCAATTCTAATGTACTGTGCAATAAATTTAAGCTAAGTTCTGTCACACATGCTGTTTCCATCAGTGGATCTCCACTGACCATAACTATATCCAACCAATAGTAATATTTATTGCCCTTGGCAGTGGCAAAATTTTTAAGGTGAGCATATTTTATATGGATATAAAAATTTTAGAATTGGTTAAACATTTTGGGGATAACGAAAATTTACAAATTGGAAGGAAAACTTTAATTTTTTAAAAGAAAAACAAAGAATGAAACACTACAAGACGGGTAAAAGTAATCAGTAATTAATGCATTCATTATCTCAGGATACATTTTTTTTAGGCTCGGGGAAATAAGTAACTCCTCTTTCACTCTACGATGGTGGGATTCCTTACTCGCTCTCTCTTATTGCTTTTGGAAGTTACATATATATTTCTACTCTAATTTGCCAACTATTTTGGTAAATTATCTGTTACTCTTTGGTTATTGGTTTGGTTAGCTATTATTACTGAAAATAGTTTGCTTGGTTATTACTATGGCTACTTATAAGTTACAGAAAACTTATTCATAGGTTATTTGTTTAGTAATTCATTGTTCTACTTGAAGGAGGTAACCAATTCACTAGCGCATTTGTAAAATTTCACTTATTATACCCCACATATTCAAAACGAACTTTTTGTTTATTAAATTCATCATTCTTTTGTTAGAGTATCAACAATCATCATAAAAATTTTATTTTATTGTTTTTTTTTCGTCAATATATCTTTATTTATTGAATCTGCTTGTTTAAAGCCTTCTTATAAGTATTAAAATCTTAAATTAAATTAAAACTAAGCATGCTCAAGGTTCTTGTTGAGCCTGTTTGGTGAATCTTTGCTCATTTGACTGCAACCTCTATATTATATTGTATCAGTGTTCGTACCCCAAAGTTGAATATCATACATCCAAATCGGGTTTATTACAGCGTTGTATGCATTGCATAAATCTACAGGCTTATACCAGAGGTAAAGAGATGCCCAACTCATCTTTCACTGGAAATCAGAGCGCAATTGTCAAAGTTCAGGAGGTCTGACGTTTACCAGATGGAAAAAGAGGGACGGCCAGTTTGAAATCCTACAGAAATATATGTGAACAGAGAGATTTGCTGCTGTTGAAGATCACTAATAAAAATTGGAAAACAATTAAAATGAAAGAAAACGCGAAATTGAAATGTATGTGATGAAATATTTTGTGATGCCATGCTTAGTAGTATAAACTTTCAATTGAAAATTATAAAAAACATTTATTAATTGAGAGCTAATACATTTATTCTGCTGATTAAATATTGAAAGTTCAAACATCAATTGTCTTAATATATCACAAAATCACAAAAAAGGGTTTAAATAGTATTTGCATATGTTTAGCGGATACATGTATAATAATATTTAATCTTAATAAATGTTGGGTATATTAATTTAAATTTCCAAAAATTATTATTTTGTCCGATCTGGCTACAATGGAAAATGTTATAAAAAAACGCTAATTTTGAGGAGCTCTCACACTGGAAAGAGTTGGGCATCCCATTATCCCTGCTTATCACATATAAAGAGATACCATCTCTCACTGGAAATCAGAACGCAATTGCTAAACGGCAAAACCTCCTGAACTCAGGTAACTGTCAAAGTTCAGGGGGTCTGACGTTTAGCAAATGGAAAATAAGGGACGGCCAGATTGAAAACCTGCAGAAAAATATGTGAACAGAGAGATTTGTTGCCGCTGGTAAAGATCACTTACAAAAATTTAAAAGCAAATATGAAAGAAAACACAAAATTGAAATGTATGTGATGAAATCATTTGTGATGCCATGCTTAGTAGTATTAATTTTCAATTGAAAATTAAAAAAAAACATTTATTAATTGAGAGGTAATACATTTATTCTGCTGATTAAGTATTGAAAGTTAAAAAATTAATTGTTTTAATATATTACAAAATAACAAAATTGGGTTTAAATATTTGCTGCATATATTTAACGGATATATGTATAATAATATTTAATCTTAATAAAAGTTGGGTATTTTAATTTAAATTCCCAAAAATTATTATTTTGTCTGATCTGACTACAATGGAAAATGGTATAGAAAACGCTAATTTTGAGGCGCTCTCACACTGGAAAGAGTTGGGCATCCCATTATCCCTGCTGCTAATACCAAGGATGAAATGATGCGAGACTCATTGAATCGAGAGAGAGAGCTGTCAAAACCCCCATTTTTTTATAACATTTGCCACTGTCGAAAGAAAATGGATTGGGTATTATAAAAAAAACTTTTGGGTATTTTGCATTTCGATATTATTTTTAGGTGCTCCGTAACCGAGTAGGCCTAAGTAACGCATATACATCCCTAAATACGTGTATTTATATTATAAAATTTTTAAAAAAACATATAACATAAAAATTGCATATAAATAAAAAAAATTATAACAAAGAAAGAAAGCAAGTCCTAATAATATATCATGGTTTTATAATAAAGGTTTCAAATTAAATTAGCAATAAAATTTAGTTGCTCGTTATTCAAAAGTATTTGTGTCGTTCCTTGAAATTTCGTTTGCACTGCTCTTGTTAGCTATTTTTAGCGGGTTTATTTCTGGCATCCCGCTTTTTTTGACATCAGCTGTTCGAAATTCCCTGATTTTAATAATATAGTTCAATGGTTGTTTGACAAGACTTTATTGTCAAGCCTAAGTTTATACTTTTTATGTAAAAGCCAGTTTAAATTTGCTGTTCTTATTTTGATGCTAGTTATTTTACTGGATATATGTATGTATGTTTTCTCCATGTGAGCTTCCTGTCGAAGTAATCCCAAGATATTATATGTTAGATTGGATAATGGGATGCCCAACTCTTTCCAGTGTGAGAGCGCCTAGATTAGATTAGATTAATTTAGAGGTATGCACCGCGACCTATGGTCTATTGTGCCCTCCCCTAAGTCATATCTTATCGTCTAGGCCCAGCATGTTGATAAATTCCAAAATTCTGCTGGGTGCTAGTGAGGCGATACAATCCCTGTGTGGAAACATGGATCCCAGAGCCTTGATTCTGCGTCTGCAGACTGCAGTGCAGTTCATCAGCAGATGTTCAGGGGTTTCCGGCTCTATGTCGCAGAACCGGCAGTTTGCAGAAGAGGCTATACCCATGTTGAATAGGTGCTTCTTGAGCCTGCAGTGGCCGGTGTAGAACGCTACCAGTAGCCGGAATTTGTTCCTTGGGAGATTAAATATGGCTTTGAACCGCTTGAGGTCGTAACCCCCCATTAGCAGTCTGGCATGGTGCGTGTCCTGAAGTTGTTGCCAATGTATCTCCCTGCCTGCTCTTTCCTCCCTACGGAGGAGCTCTTTGATGGTACGTGGACCAACCGCTATGAATGGTTCCGGTCCTACCATTTTTGTAGAGGCTGCAGTGCGGGCCAACTTGTCAGCTAGTTCGTTCCCAGCTATACCCCTATGGCCAGGCACCCAGATAAGGTGCACTCGGTTTTGCTCTGATAGGCTGTTCAGTCGTTCTATACACTCCAGCACTAGAAGAGATCTGACCTCATAGGCAGAGATCGCTCTTAGTGCCGCCTGACTATCGCTGAGTATAGCAATACATTTATTGCGATAGTTGCGTTGGAGGTTTATCCCTACACACCGACTTATAGCATAGACCTCGGCTTGGAAAATGCTAGGGAAACTTCCTATGGGAATGGAGAGTTTGGTGCTTGGCCCAGCGACACCTGCACCAATCCCCTCCTCCGTTTTCGACCCGTGGTGTACCACTTGATAGTGCTTCCCCTTAGCAGCTGGTCCAGTGAAGAGTTATTTCACTCAGACTTGATGCCAAGGGTAACTTGGAACTTCCTGCTGAAGTTTACTACTTTGGTAATGCTATCCCTTGGGAGAAGGGCTAGTGGTACTTCCTCACTTAGCCCTTTCATCTGCTGGGATGAGATTTCAAATTAAATTAGCAAATAAAATTACCTTTGCCAATACCTTCCCTTTGCCAGCTCCCTCTGATGTCATTTGGAGCAGAGTTCGTTTGGCAGTCTGTTTGATTACCAGGTGTAGCGGTGAAGGTTCTAGCATGACTTCCAGTGCTGCGGTCGGACACGTTCGCATTGCTCCCGATGCGCAGATGCAGGCAAGTCTTTGCAGCCTCGACAGTTTAAGTCCTACCGAAGTCTGCGATGCTTTAGAAACCCACGATACTGCTCCATACGTGATAATCGGTCTCACGATTATGGTGTACATCCACCTGATTGTCCTTGGGGAGCACCCCCAGGATTTTCCAGCAAGTCGGTTGCACACGATGAGTGCTTTTGTAGCTTTGTTACGGGTCTGGTCCACCTGCCGATTCCATCGTAGAGTGGAATCCAGCGTGAGGCCGAGATACTTGACCGTGCTGGCCATCTCCACCACTCTGCCGTCCAGGGATATATTTCTGGGACCCGGCAGTGAGCTCCGTCTGGTGAAGGGGATGATTGTAGTTTTAGCGGGGTTGATGTTTAAGCCAACCCCACTACACAATCCCTTTGGCAGTCCCAGTCCCCTCTGAACGATATTCAAATTTTCCCCTAGCTAAGATAACAATGTCATCTGCATATCCCTGACAGCGGATTCCATTGCTAGTCAGCCGCTCAAGGAGATCGTCCACAACTAGGCTCCAAAGTAGGGGGGATAGCACTCCACCCTGTGAGCACTCCACCTCTTGTTGTGCCCAGAAGAATTTTAGTGTCTCCTACTGCGGTTTCCGCCACCCTAGTGCGCAGTACGGCTGCAATCCATCTGCGCACTGGTGCTGCCACATTCCTTTTCTCCAGTGCTCTTAACACGCTCTCATGAGACGTGTTGTCAAAGGCACCTTCGATGTCGAGGAAGGCGCATAGCATCACCTCGCCCCCATCTAACGAATTCTGGATCTCTGAGGTTAGCTGGTACAGAGCAGTGTTTGTTAACCTGCCTGCTCTGTAAGATGTTGCTTCGCATGAAGCGGTGAAGCCGTCAGCACCTTCGATCGTAATTCATGGTCTATGATTGATTTTGTCAATGAGTAGTCTTTCCTCCCTACTTTGGGTATTAAGATCACCTTTGCAGTGCACCATGGTTCTGTGATATATGCCTGCACTAGGCTATCCCTCATCAGCCGAACAAGGTGGGTAGTAGCACCTGCTCTCCCTGTTGCAGAAAAGCTGGAAGGATACCGTCCGCACCCGGGGACTTATATTTTTCAAAGGAGGCCAGAGCCCACTTGATGGAGTCTGCAGTCAAGAGCTGTTTTGCGACTGTCCAGTCCAAGCATGATGCCCTTCGTTCGACCATAGGTCGAAACTGGTCTTCTTGAATCGTCTCCGGAAAATGCGCTAGTAGAAGAGCCGTAGCTCTTTCTCCTGCGCTGGACATATAGGTGCCATCAGATCGTTTAATCGCTAGTACTGTGTCCGTCTTGCCTCTAGCCAAGCCCTTATGCAGTCTAGCTGCCTCTGGGGTTGAGGAGACGCTCTCACAGAACTTCCTAAAGCTCTTTTGCTTCGCGGTCCTAATCTCCCTATTATA